CAAATTACATAAGATAAAATGCAAAAATAATATACAACTGCAAGAAATTTAATTACATACATTGTAGTAGTATGCATTACATAATTGGCCCTGAAAAGGAGAAAAGCATCTATAAGTGTATTCAAAAGAAAAGCTGCAACTTACTGGATACCACTTATACAAAACTATAAATAACTGCTGCCACATGCACTAGTCCATATAGCTATATATAATGTGACAACTATGGACAAAATGATGCAATAGAACTGATGAACAATAGTGTTTGGCAGATAGATGAACTCTCATTAACTGGTTGTGACCATGTTGAGTGACAATCCGTGCCATCACTGGACAGATCACATGGTCAGTAAAACCTTGTACTATATACCATCAACTACACAAATGATGACAGAAGCATACAAAGCTAGAGTGCCTGAAACCCTGAAACCCTGAACATGGATGACTACAAAAGGCTAGAGACCCTGAATCCCCTCAATCCCTGAATGTGAGAAACCATGAAAAATTCCTTGAGATCAAGGGTAATAAACGAGTCTCTTCGTAAACTCAGAGGACTCGTAACTCTTTCTCCTCCTCTTGAGGAACTTGATGAAGTATTGGCTGTGATGTTTACTGGACCTTGTCAACCTACCAAAAAAGACCTTCAACATACTCCATTGCTGGTCCATCGAAAGCAGATTTCAAAAGCACTGGAGTGGTTAAAATTGAACCATTCTGACTACTTTGACATCAGAATATCACAGGAGAATTTGAGCCAGTACCCTTTGAGTGATGCACCAGTCACTTCAGTCAACCCCCAAGTACTAACCACTAGCTGGGATAAAATGGCAAATGATCCCAGCTAAGAGTAAGGTGGTGGATGGATCTTTTGGGACCCTGAATACCAAAAGATCCTTCCAGAATGATCCTGTCATGTATTAATTTTTGTCCACTGTCACACCAAAAGATCCTTTCCCTGCATCCAAAAAGATCTTTTTCCTGTCACGTATATATTTTTGTCCATTGTCACACAATCAGAATTATCCTTTTGATATCCCATCGTCACGTATATATTTTTGTCCACTGTCACATGTACAAAATTATTTCTCCAATCTAAAAGATCTTTTACTCCATTGAAAAGATCTTTTCCAGGTCACGTATCTTTTTTTTTGACCAATAGTCACAGGAGTGTCTGGGGTCCATATTTCAAAAAATCACAAGTTTTTTGTCTTGCTTCCTGACCTTCATCAGGGTCTGTAAAGGCCTATATCTGCTTCCAATGATGAGCTCAGTACTTCTCAGTCCCCCACAGATTCCTGCAGGACTACACTATGATTTTGGTAATTTTGAGTTGGAGTAAAAATTCTGTCAAGTCCTCAGAAATCCAGGAAACTGTCAGGCACTATCTTCAGGGTGTACTGTAGGGTCCATCCCCAAAAAGGTATAGTTTGACCAAATAGTGAAGAAAAACAAGATAAAGATGAATCTATTTGTCAGGGTCCATGTAAGGGATGTTGGTCACATGACTAATTACCAAAAATGGTCAAAATGAAAGTTATAGCCCTACACCATAGCTTCTTGAATGTGTTTGAATTATATTCTGAAGTGCTCCTGTTATGGAGATATGAAGTAAAGAAATTTCAAAAGTGTCGTGTTTTTTTTTGTTTTCTGCATTTTTCTCCACAAAAACAAAACCAAATAATATGATTTCAGTATATTTGGAAAGCTAAGAGAAAGGGCTACAATTATTGTATCGTGNGAAAAATGACAAANAAAGGAAGGTGCATGCCCTAAAAGGGAAACTGATGCTGACAGACAACANAGGTCAGTATAGACTACACAGTTTACTGATACACTACAAAGTTATGGTTAGGGTTGAGTAAAAACTAGGGTTAGGGTCAACTACACACTAGAGTTAGAGTTGAATACAAAGCTAGGGTTAGGGTTGAATACAAGCTAGGGTTAGCTAAGGTTGAATACAAAGTCTACTGATAAACTAGAAAAGACTACAACAGTTAGACTTAGCCTACCAAATTAGGGGTCAACATTGACTACAAAGTTTATCAATAGATCACAAAAGACTTACAAAAGTTGGGCATGGATTACAAAGTTGGCTGATAGACTACAAAAGACTACACAAGTCAGACTTACACTACAGAGTTAGGGTTAGTGTTGATCACAAGCTAGGGTTAGGGTTGACCACAAGCTGGGGTTAAGGTTGACAACAAAGTTTACTGACAGACTACAAATATTGGACTTATATTACCAAGTTAGGGTTAGAGTTGACTTCATAGTATACTAATAGACTACAAAACACCTCAAGTTAAGGTTGACTATAAAGTTTACTGATAGACTACAAAAGTTGGACTTACACTACAAAGTTAGTGTTAGAACCAACTTCAAAGTTGACTACAAAGTTCAGCTTAGAGTTGACTACAAGATTTACTGATGGACTCCAAAAGAATACAAAAGTAGGATATAGACTGCTTCTTAGCCTACAAAAGTTTGTAGTGTTCACTTTTTGGGACTACAAAACTTGTAGTCCACTTTTCTGACATGTATATAGTTATAGTGTTCTTGACTATATATAGGTTTATGGAAATGTAGTTGAAGGATTGACATGACATATTGCCATTCCTGCATAATGAGTTGTCAACATCATGCACAAGTTGTCTTTCACATCAGAAGAGGCTACTATACTTTCATATCAATAGCTACGGTTCTGTCTCAAAACAGAGTCAATATTGATATGAGCTCATGGATGATGGGCTGATTGGTTCTGCGGGATGAGTTGTTGACATCATGCACAAGTTGTCTTTCACATCAAAAGAGGCTATTCTATGCTTTCATGTCATATTGGAGGCTAAAACAGCTACTCTTACCTTCATATCAATAGCTGCTGTTCTGTCTAAAAACAGAGTCAACTTTGATATAAGTTCATAGCTACTGTTCTGTCTAGCTACTGTCCTGTCTAATTACTGTCCTGTCTCAAAACAGAGTCAACTTTGATATAAGTTCTTTCAGGGCCATAGTACTGTATAAATGATGGGCTGATTGGTCCTAGCATATATTCTTACTTTTAACAACAAAGTCAGGTCATGATGTAAGCTCACTATGTCTTGAGATAGAACACTAGTTGCCAATATGAAAGCATAAAATAGCTTCTCCTGATATGAAAGCCAACTTGTGCATAGTCTCAACAACTTATGATGCAGGAATGGCAACTTATGAAGTCATGTCAACTCTTCCACTTCAGTCACCCAGTGCCAACTGACTATTAGTCATGCAAACTCCACGTAAGTTACATGACTAAATGTCATAGACCATATCTATATTCTAGATATATATGGGTCCTAGAAAGCCCTGAAATCTAAAATATATTCTTGAGACATGGACCCTGAAATGTCACACAAAAATTATAATGTCTGTGTCACACCCCCAAAATATATTTTGCAAGTGAAATGCAGTAAGGATATATTTTTGGTGAGTGGACCCTGAAATGTCACTGTCACACCTTAGAAATATATTTTTGCCCTGGTTTGGCCTTAGGATATATTTTGTGAATCTGATGTGGTAAGGATATATTTTTCTGGTCTGTAGGGGTGTCAGGGGTCCTAGTTTCAGCAAAAAAACTTGTGATTTTTTTGATGTCTGTGGTATATATTGTGGAAGATTGTGCAATGATTTCCACTATGTCTGGCTTGTGCTTCCAGTATGTAGATAGCAATAAGGGCATCAATAGCATATGTGATCTACCTGAGTTGCTTAAATATTATCCAATGAATACAGTTCATATTACAGATTCTTTTAGC